ACCATCTCCGCTGACCCTCTGTGTTCTTTCGGTGAGCCATGATTTTATCAATTTAAAACTTTCCCCTCGATACCATGGCCTTAACTTTTTCTGAGAAGTCTGGCGGTACTCTGTCAAATGCTTTGCTAAGTTTAAGTAAATAACATCGTAATTTATGTCATTATCTACTACCTTGAACTTTCTATAAAACGTCAGCAGATTTGTTGAACAAGATTTTTCCTTTGTAAACCCATGTTGAGAATCGTAGATTAATTTGCTTTTTCTAATCACGATTGGATACTAGTTACTATAATTGATTCAAGAAATTTCCCCACTACTAACGTCGAACTGATCGGCCGGTAATTTGACGCTGATGCTCTATCTCCTTTTGAATATGGGTTCTGTATGTATATGTATGTATATTATGTATGATATTATGTATGTGCTCCATTTATATACTATTTATTCAGCCTAGCTAGTAGTGTGTGGCAATGTATTTACGATGTCTCACATGCTTAATTAATAGTGCCTGGCGACATATGGAAGCTGTTTATGTATCACTTACCATCGTCGCCTAGAGAGCAGTTGACCAGCAGACAGAGTAGGAAGGCGCTACTTCCTTGTGTACATATCTCTTATCCAGTAAATAGAACCTATAAAACTATACAGGTGTTTGTGTTCGCTCCTGTATATAGAACCTGATACCCAGAACACGAACATGGCGCAGTGAGTACTTTTACTGGATAATTATGAGTGACAGTGCAAAGTTTGTGGAAAGCGGCTTATGGACTCCTCTCGTCAACCAACCGCGGGCTCCTCAAGAAATTTATAGCAACTTTGAGCAGTGTCAGTGACAGTGATTTTCTGTGCAGTGTTTAGTGCATTGTGTGTTTTGTGCCATAAATGTGTGACCTTGTTCTAAGGATTCCCAAGGTACACGGCATGTTATGGGCATTTGTAGGGAGTAAAGTTTTTCACATCCTTCTCTCGCCATTATCAGAGGTAACTGGCGCTCATCGTAGTCTCCACACCCCCTCACAGCTCAGGAGAGTGCTCTCATCGCCACACACACACACACACACAGACATGACGATTCTTATCATTTGTAACCGGTCGGAATTTACTGGACCTTATTTTCTCACTTGACTTGGGGTTTATTAAAGATTATTAGATGGTAATGGCAGTGGAAGCGCCCCTTAGTGAGAAATCCCGAACCAGCACAAGAGCACTTAAATTTACTAAACAAAATGAATTGTCCGTGACCCGTGGAAGGATAGCGTCTGTGACTGGGATGAATGAGACACACTGTAAAATTTACACTTATATTCCCTCCAACACTACAAACACAATCAATAAAGGTACACCAATATGCGCACCTCTTAACCTGAACTTAAAACACTACTCTGGGGAATAAAAGTTATACATGATGTTGAAATTATTAGAAACTCAGGCAATGCCTCATTGGAGAACAATAAGTTTAAGTATTAAGAAATGTTGCTTGCACACATGAAACAGGCCTTAAGGGCTTTCAACAAAATAATATCCAGCACTGAGAAAATGGTATTCAAAAATAAGAAATTAATAACTCTACAATGAATAGGCCTTAAGGGCACTCAACAAAATTATATCACCCCAACAGATGCACACTTCCTAACCTAACTTAACCACTACTCTGGGGAACAAAGGTTATACCTGAGATCGGAATTATAAAGAAAAATTAGATGCATTAAAAGAATTAAATCACAGTATCACTCTGGTTCCACTTAGTGACACAAACATTCAAAAAACAATACTCTCAAAATCATTTAGGAATTATTACTACACGTCAAGATAATATCAGTAACTGAAAAATGGTATTAACTACACACAAAAATATTGTCACTATTACCGAGATGTTACTGGATCCACCAATACCCGTGAACCATGCTCCACCCAACTCAACATACGCCCGTAATAAGGGAGATAAAATGTTCCTCTAGGTATCCCCTAGACTCCTGGTCTCAGTGTGTGACCATTTATTTACTCAGATTGCCTCAGTGTACTCTCAGTGCATCCATGGGCGGGAAGAGAGAACACCTGCAGGTGACTATGGCCAGTAGGTAATACTTCTAGCTGACCGAGGGCACGTGGTGTTATGCACCCACGTGGTAGGAACTGATCACCCAATGCTGATGCTGGTCCCGTGTCGTTTTAGTTGTCGGGAGCACTCGTCCACTCAAGAGATCCCTTGATATCCCCGCTGACCAGTGACAAGCCTGCACTAATCGTTCCAAATGCGACAATCGCTAATCATCAATCATCAACGGCAGTCTCAAACGGCAGCCAATCTCTGGCAGTCAATTTCTCGCGGTCATGTGGGTTCTGACGGAAACCCTGAAATGAACTCGCTGTTAGCTCTTGTTAACTTTACCACTGCCCTATCTAAACCCTGTCTGAGATCGAATGAGACTTACTTGTTATACTGCAATAGCGCAACACAGGTGACTAGACCACGTGACTATTTCTGTGACGGACGTGCAGGGACGTCTTGTTTGTCTGAATGCTTCCCCGTGACTGAGAGAGAGCCCGCCTCGTGTCCTCTCAAGGCGTTAGCTTAGGCCTACGTGACATATTTTCTGCCTAACTAATAACTCCTTGGGACACCCGTAACATTATTCAGACTGATAAACGATCTATAATAATTTCAAATTCAATAATAGTCCCTTAACTTCATGAATCGCATCATTATTAATTCGGCAAATTACATTTAATATCACTTAGGCTTAGTTCCACAACCTCTCGCTATGTGCAGGGAGCGCTCTCTTCCCTCAGACGACCTTGAAAGCTCAGTATCGCCAATGGCGCGGTGTTTGAAATTACACTGCAATTTCTGAATATTACATATATATATATATATATATATATATATATATATATATATATATATATATATATATATATATATATATATATATATATATATATATATGTGTGTGTGTGTGTGTGTGTGTGTGTATATTCAGAAAGTTTTATGTGACATTTAGAGACGTTAGAACAAAAAGGACTATCTGCCGAACAGGGAAACAGAAGTAAGCTAGGCTGAAACACTCATGACTCGTGGCGAGTTAAATCAAAACTTCCAAGGAACGCCCTCGGTCAGGGTATGGAAGCGTTTTGAACTAGGCCTATATCAATTTAAATGTACTTTATCGAATTAATGTAGACACGATTCATGAAGTTAAGGGACAATTATAAAATTTAAAGTTATTGTGGATCATTTGCCAGTTCTAAATATGTTACGTGTGTCCCAAAGAAAATATTAGAAATACCCGAAAGATGACGCCATGGGGGGGAGGCAGGCGAGCGCCCTGAGGTATGCAGGCATTGACCAGGCCCCAGTAGTTCATGGTCATTGACCGAAAGGGACGTTTAACTACGTGTTCCACCAAACAGAGCGACCACGTGGCCTCGTCCCTCATCCGTGTTGCAAGTAAGTCCGTATTCGATCTCAGACAGTGTTGAGATAGGGCGTAGAAGAAATTAACAGTAGTTACCAAAGTACTCATTTTGCAGGGTCACGAGACCCCACCTGGTTGGTGGTTGATGGTTGGTGGTGATGGTGGTTTGGAAGACATAGCTGGTTACTTACGGGGTGGACACCCACACGGCCTGCGAGCAGACCAAATTACCAAATTACCATGACTGACCGCAGAGCTTGGATGTGGTCGACCTGGTTCATCGAATCTCCCCACCTAGATTCATACAACACCACAAGAACCACCCACACATTTTCTCAGTCAGTCAACGAAAAATCTTACTAACGGGAAAGTAGAACTCCTCCGTCAGCTGGGCAGGGTTCACCTGGTTGTACTCAGAGCTGGTCTAACTAGGCGGGCTGACGGTCGCTCTCTTTCTGTCCATGGAGTACTGGGAGTAAACTGAGTGCAGACTGAGTGAATGAAGGGTCACACGCTGGAACCAGGAGTTCTAGTGGTTGCATAGAGACATTCATCTCCCCAGTATTGAGTGAAGGTGATGAAAATAGCCAAGTCCAGGTGTGTAATCAACGCTCCTCATGGTTGATTGCACACGTGGGACGTAGGAGTTCCTCTTCAAAGTTGGTTGATTCTGTAGCACCTTAAAGTACGGGTGCATTCTGAACTTATGTGTGAAGCATGTTACGGGTGATGGTGGAGAAATGCACTCATGACTCCTGAACCTAGAAGAGTAATGAAAAAACAGCGGAGCACCCGCCTGCCTGACGGGTCATGAGTGATTTTCTCAGTTTCTTGTAAATGCCTGCCACTTGGCAGGTTAGTAGTTACAACCTTCGCGTTCTGGGTAGTTAGGACAGTTAGGATTATAGTATTTTGTGGGTCATCCCAGACAGGCTATGAGTGATCCATGTTCTTGTGTAGTGTGACTAAATCGGGATTTCTATTCCTCAGTGATTGCTATAATTTTGTCGGATGCCCTTAAGGCATTTTCATCGGTACAAGTAATATTTTTTTAATGTTTTATGTGTCACTAAGTGATGTAGGATGTACGAAGGAATTGTCTCAGATAAGTTCCTCGTTCTGGTGTATGTAGTACTGCTGCATTATTAGTTGTATCCGGATGCCATTAATAGCTTTTAATAATTTTATTGATACCAATTACAATTTTTGTGTCTCATTGTAGTGTTGTAAGCCACGCTAAGAGGTACTCTAGTGTTTGTGTACCATTATTGATTCCGTCTGTAGTGTTGGAAGGAATAGAAGTGTTATCTTTTACCAGTGCGTCTCATTAACCCCAATCACAGGTACTGGCTGTTCCACGGTCACGGAAAATACTTTTATTAATTGTGTTTGTGCTGGTTCGGTATTCTCTGAGGGGCGCTTCCACTGCATTACTATCCACTATAACTCAAAAACCCCAATAGGTAGAATTCCGGCTGGTTACATAATATATATATATATATATATATATATATATATATATATATATATATATATATATATATATATATATATATATAATGTGTGTAATTCTTCCTTCAGGATACCTCTGGTTTGCATTGCTGGGGAGCGTGGTCGGATGGAGTGTGCTGATATGGGTTCTGCAGATGGCGTGGCGGTGGATGACAGGAGGTCGTGGTGTTAGGTTCAACACCGCACTCCTTTACGGCTGGGGCGCCCTTCTGGAGCAGCCTCCTCTCGACCCCTCCGTTAGCGTATCAGGCCAGGTCATTGTCACTCGGTCTCACATGACCTCTGTTCCCTGGACGAGTTAATGATAAAAAAAATATCTTATAGCAAACATTCTGACAGTCATAAATCGATGATTTTGTGCATTGATGATTTCGGTGATTTCCATTCTAAGGATGTATACGTCTCTTGTCCGTTATCTGTGCACCTGCTGAGGCATGTAGTTTATACAGTACACCACGAGATATGATAATTATATATTACTAAAGGAATTAGGCACGTGCTGATGGGCTACCTGTCCATCACAGTTACTATAAAAGAGGATTTATGCGTATCGGATTGTATTATTAATATTATTTTTAGAAATTCTTTTTTTTTTTTTTATAAAGACTTAGCATTTTCACAAACAAAATAGAACATGGACTGGAAAGTCTTATTTTCTTTAAAAGGAATTTCGTTTTTAGAACAGATATATAATATCAATCAAGAAGGAAGTCGAGATAATCCACGTACTCTCAAATCTAAGTGTGCCATGTAAAGGCGATGTTCTTTTTATATGGTTTGCAAAGTATGCGAAAGTTTGTGGTAATTTTTAATTTACAAATATAACAAGTTGACTTTCAACTTCTCCATTACTCCAAAGCATAAATCTGTATTAAAAATCGGAAAGTTTCTCAAGAATATTTGAGGGCCTCAGATACACAAGGCCACAAGTGCCACCACAGGGGAAATGGAATTATTGGTTCCAACGTATTCTCTAAGTTGAGTTATGTCTTTGGAGCTTGGATTTACGACCTTGTGGAGCTCTCACATGATCAAAAAAGCACTGATATACATTGATTTTGTACCTAAAATAACCATATTCAACGGGCATTCGTCACACAAGGCCGCAAGTCTCACCCCACTGAACTGCGTCCCTTTAACTCACATAGGAGCCAAAGACACACCGAGTAGACCCATTTTGGCCAATGGGCGAGCATCTGGGGCTCATGGTCTGCGATGCATGAAACTCATACACAAAACTCTTATAAAAAATATTTTCAAAATAAAACAAACCCCACCTCGAAATCTTTATTGGTTGTGGAGTAACAAACAAAAAACGTTTGTGGCCTATTTCTCATTTTTTAAGAACATAAGAACATAAGAAAATAAGGAGTCTGCAATAGGCCGGTTGGCCTGTGCATGGCATCTCCTGTCGATAGTTACTACCACTCTCTATCATCCATGAATCTATCTAGCCTCCTTTTGAAACTTTCCAGAGTTCCCGCACTTACTACAAAGTTGCTAAGCTTGTTCCACTCGTCCACCACCCTATTTGTGAAACAGTTTCTTCCTATCTCCCTCCTAAACCTAAACTTATCCAACTTGAATCCGTTGCTTCGAGTCCTATCCTGCTCGGATATTATAAGAACTTTATCTATATCCCCTTTATTAATTCCTTTCACCCACTTAAATACTTCTATCATATCTCCCCGCACTCTTCGTCTTTCTAGGGAATGCAAGTTAAGTTTCTTTAACCTATCCTGATATGGAAGGTTTCTAAGTCCCTGAATCATTTTTGTCATTCTTCGCTGCACCGACTCTAGTGAATTTATATCCATTCTATAATAGGGGCACCAGAACTGAACCGCATAATCGAGGTGCGGCCTGACTAGCGCAAGATATAGTTGCAATAAGACCTCTGCACTCTTGTTACTTACACTTCTAGATATAAAACCCAATATTCTGTTTACCTTATTTTGAACATTAACGCACTGTTTTCTAGGCCGTAGGTCCGGGCTTACAAGTACCCCTAGGTCTCTTAAGAACATAAGAACATAAGAAAGTGGGATACTGCAGGAGGCCGACTGGCCCATACAGGGCAGATCCCTTTCACACCCATCCCAGCACTTCCATGTGCCTATCCAACTTCGTCTTGAAGCTCCCTAGCGTCCCCGATCCTACTATAGCACTCGGTAGCCTATTCCACATATCCACAACTCTATTACCAAACCTTTGCTTGCCAATATTCTTTCTGAATCGGAATTTATCTAACTTAAAGCCATTTGTTCTAGTTATTTCGTTATCACTGAGCTTCAGAACATCTTCCATTTTACCCTTGTTAATCCCACTTACCAACTTGAACACCTCTATCATATCTCCCCTAACTCTACGCCTCTCTAATGAATGCAAGCCTAAGCTTTTCAGTCTTTCTTCATATGGAAGGTTTCTAATATTATGGATCATTTTTGTCATTCTTCTTTGTACTCTCTCCAAAGAATCTATGTCCATTCTATAATAAGGACACCAGAATTGAACCGCATAATCCATGTGTGGCCTCACTAATGCTAGGTAAAGTTTCAAGATAACGTCAGCAGTTCTGTTACTCACACTCCTAGATATGAACCCAAGAATCCTGTTTGCCTTGTTGCGAACGCTAATACATTGTTTTCTAGGTTTCAAGTCGTTGCTAACAAATACACCTAGATCTTTTTCACAATCTGAGTTTTCTATTTCCGTGTTACCTAGTTTATACTTAACGTTTGTATTCGTCTTCCCTATCTGTAGTACCTTGCATTTATCAGTATTAAAATTCATTTGCCAGTCTACTGACCACTCATGTAAGGTATCTAGATCTCTTTGAAGGTGTTCAAAGTCACTGTCTGAATTTATCACTCTCCCCATTTTGGTATCATCTGCAAATTTACTAATCCTACTAGTTATACCTAAATCAAGATCATTAATGAATATAACAAACAGCAGAGGGCCTAATACAGATCCCTGGGGAACTCCGCTTTTGACCGCACCCCAGTCTGACTTAAATCCATTTATGCTGACTCTTTGTTTCCTACCAGTTAACCATGACCTAATCCATTTTAATAATGATCCACCTATTCCATGTGCTTCTACCTTCCTTATCAATCTCTCATGAGGGACTCTATCGAATGCTTTACTGAAATCTAAATAAATTATATCATATGACTTATCATTATCTACCGCTTCATATACTTCTGAGAAAAAGCTAAGCAAATTTGTGAGACAAGAACGTCCCTGGGTGAACCCGTGCTGAGAAGAATGAATTAAGTTGAATGTTTCAAGGTGGCTTCTGATTTTCGTAGCAATAATTGACTCTAGCAACTTGCCTATGATTAACGTGAGACTAATGGGACGGTAATTTGATGCAATTGATTTATCACCTTTTTTGAAAATCGGAACTACATTTGCAAGTTTCCAAGCTTCTGGCACTAGGCCTGATTCTAATGACTTATTAAATAAAACTGCTAATGGATTACTCAACTCATCTCTACATTCTTTTAATATTCTAGCATATACCTCGTCTGGACCAGGCGATTTATGTGGCTTCAGTTTGTTAATTTCTTTAAGCACATCGTTACTAGTAATATTGATATTCATCAACATATTTTCGATACTGTCGTTATATACCTTATGAACTTCTGGAAACTGTGCTAGGTTTTCATTTGTGAATACGGAGCGAAAATGACTATTTAACGTACTACACATTTCTAACTCTTTGCTGCCTTGTGATTCTAAGGCCCACATTTTCTCTTTTAAGAAATAAAATCCTACAGACCCCCAAAAATCATAGGGAGTTCACAATTTTTTTCATGACTTCTGTGACGATTTGATGGAGGTTGATGATGGTTTACTCTTTTTATGCATGTGTCCAGATGTTGGTTGGGTGGTGGCTGGTGTTTTGTCTGGTCATCGCTACAGGGTACCGTTCTTCACTGATTGCTCACTTGACGGTCCAGGGGAGATCACCAACCCTAGACAATTACCAAGATCTGGTGTCTCAGGGAAACTGGCGATGGGCCACTGAGCCTTGGCTGTACAAGGGGGCAGCTTATGAATATTTTGCCAAGCACACCGATCCCATAGTGAAGCAGATATTCAAAGGGATGGAGGTAAATAATTGTTGTACATTTTAAACAAGTATGAAACATCTTTTTCAGTAAATGAACTAGATTCCACTTATGAAATTTAAAGAGTCAGATTTAATTAGCATTTATATTTATGTATAAAGAAAAATATATATAGCTGCGAAAGACATATATTTCTCAATTCCATAATTAGTATTGCATACCAGGTGATGGTAGCCGAAGAAGCATTGCAGAAGGTGTTAGCAGGAGGGTTCTCCCTGATCGACTTCCAGAATTATATTAACATCATCATCGCCTCCCGCTACACCGACAACAACCCCTTCTACGTCAGTAATAACGGGATCTACGTCTTAGGTGCTTTTGGCTGGAGTTTTAGGTGAGTGAACAGCTCTCACTTTAGGATACTGCCAAATATGAATTGGCAATTTAAGAAATATCATTAAATTATTGTTTTTTGGCTAATCTTCTTATATAATAATAATAATAATAATAATAATAATAATAATAATAATAATGATAATAATAATAAAACATTATGTTAATGCCAATATTTATACATTTATCATTATTAAAATCGTTTCTATTACTCTACATTTTTATTTTCAATCGTCAACATTATAATATTGTTATTCTATTTCCAATAGAATAATAGGGTTAGTATTAACAACGTATTAGGGTGGACTGAACTATGTAATAATTAAAACACACAAAACCAGTATGACACACGGCAGTACTCCTACGACACGCGGCAGCACTCCACGACGTTCGGCAGTACCCCACAGCACAGTTCACGGCAGTACTTCTACAACACACACACTCTAACAGCTCACAGTATGGCAGACATTCACGGCAAACACACACACAGCTAGTATACACAGCTCACGGCAGTACTCATAGCCACCACGCAGCCACGGCAGTACTCACCTAACCACACACAACACACGGCATTACAGTACCCCCAACACACACAGCTCCCACTAACACACACAACTCACGGCATTACAGTACTCCCCACACACACACAGCTCACGTCAGTACTCCTAACACACACAGCTCACGGCAGTGCTCCCTAACACGCACAGCTAACGGCTAACGGCTCACTAACACACACAGCTCACGGCAGTACTCCTAACACACACAGCTCACGGCAGTACTCCCATAGCACACAACTCACGGCAGTAACACACACAGCTCACGGCAGTACTCCACAACACACACACTCACCTAACACACACAGCTCACGGCAGTACTCTAACACACACAACTCACGGCAGTACTCCTAACACACACAGCTCACGGCAGCTACTCCCCATAGCACACACAGCTCACGGCAGTACTCCACACACACACAGCTCACGGCAGCTCACGGCAGTACTCCCATAGCACACACAGCTCACGGCAGTACTCCACAACACACACAGCTCACGTGCACCACAACACACACAGCTCACGGCAGTACCCCATAGCACACACAGCTCACAGCTCCCCACACACACACAACTCACGTTCACGGCAGTACTTGCACACACAGCTCACGGCAGTACTCACAACACACACAGCTCACGGCAGTCAGCTCTAACACACACAGCTCACACAGTACTCCCCACACACACAGCACGGCAGTACTCCTAACACACACAGCTCACGGCAGTACTCCCAACACACACAGCTCCGGCAGTAATGCCCATAGCACACACCGGCAGTAATAGCACACAGCTCCCTACTAGCACACACACGGCAGTACTAACACACACAGCTCACGGCATCCCCAGCACACACAGCTCACGGCAGTACTCCCACAACACATACAACTCACGGCAGTACTCCCACAGCACACACAGCTCACGGCAGTACTCCCACAGCACACACAGCTCACGGCAGTACTCCCACAGCACACACAGCTCACGGCAGTACTACCACAACACACCAAGCTCACGGCAGTACTCCACAGCACACACAGCTCACGGCAGCAAGTGTTGACCGGGCCAGCTAGGAGTCTTACTGCCGGGGTGATGGTTCGCGGCTACAGGTTCACCTCCCTAGCACCACCTCGCAGTCCCGTCTCATTGGCCAGTCTCGTTATGATGCACTGTGAGGTTGACTGACGGCAGTAATTGCTTCTTGAACCAGCCAACGAATCCTTAGGCAGCTGGTCCATAGTCATGGCATGAATAGTATTATCATTCTTTCCTTATAAAATGCAACTTCACCCCTCGTTTGAACGGCTTTCATCACAGTAAGCCACCAGCCGGTCAGTTAGTTATTATGTTTAGAATAAGAAATATAGAAACTGTGGGAGAGGTGAACCATATCATTTTGTCTCCGGCCTTTTGAGTGACGGCCGTCTGTCAGGAAAGTTCATGCATATTTCTTCCGTACTGTACACTAGAGCGGACCCAGGTATATATTTCTGGGAACTGAACACCAGAGAAACAGTCATGGAAGCAATTTGTTATGCAACAGCCTAGATTTGTTTGAAATCAAATATTGATATAAAACAATAAGATCATGACCAAGTTCTTAACTTACCTATTATACAGGCTAATATTTTGCTCACGAAATATACACAGACCCATAACTTTCGCACTTTGTTTTTGGAATATTTCGTTGATTTCGCGTTTACGTGTATTGTGCTGACATGATTTGTAATGCAAATAAAATAATATTATTAACTGCAACTGTTTGCATAAAATATCCCATAAATAGCATAGTTTATCTGCACACCTGCACTAATGAAGATATCTATTAGACCTTGTTTACCAACACTTGTTGCACGAACACACGCTATGGGGGGCCTCCGGCTCCACTAAAACACAATCCTTGGTCACTACCCAAAAGAGAGTTATGCAAACAATGACTTACTTGAAAAATATTGATCTCAGTAGCGAACAATTTGCTAAACTGAAAATTTTAAAATTCAAGGAATTAACACTTACTGCTGTGCTCTCTTTGTTAAGTAATCTGTTAATCACTTGATTGTGAATAATTATTTCCAGTTTTGGGATAACTAGAGATACAACTTAGGCATCCAGACCTACTAATACCACCCCTCATGCGCTCCTCTCAGTCCTAGACCTCCATAAATTGTCATGGTGCGCTGTGAAACAACTTCCCCTTACCCATCCGAGCAAAGTCTGCGCTTCATATATATATATATATATATATATATATATATATATATATATATATATATATATATATATATATATATATATATATATATATATATATATATATATATATGTGTGTGTGTGTGTGTGTGTGTGTGTCAAAATGTTTAAACCCGCAGCAGACTCACATCTTAGTGTGCTTGTGTATGTGACATCAGCATCAGCATCTGCACACTATTTGTGACTCTGAATTTATTGACGATGAATTGAAACACATTCGTTCCATTGCACAGAAACTCGGGTACCCGTCTGTGTTTGTTGATCGTTGTTTTAAAAGGGTTAAAAAATCCTTTCATTCCTCTCAAACCTGACAAATTCCTACACTTAAGAATATTTTGACTCTGCCCTATCGTAATGAATTTGTCCCGTTAGTTCGGTCCCTCAAGCTTCGAAATATTAATGTTGTTTTCAAATATGACTCAACCATTATCAATATGTTAATAAGAAATAGCCCAAGTTTGAATGTAAATGGAAGTGTTTATTGTATTCCATGTAGCAAATATAATTGTAATTATGTAGGACAGACAGGAAAAACATTGCAGCTCAGAATCAAACAACATATGTATAATATCAGAACAGCATCTGAAAGCAGTGCCTTGTTCGTTCATGTTAGGAATAATAATCACCCCATTGCTTGGGAAAAAAGCTTAGAAGTATTTAAATCATCTTGTGTCACAGAATAAAGAAATTAAAGGGAGGGGAGGAGCAGCTCAGAAACAGGTATAATGAACTATCTAGGAATGTTAAGAGAAATGTAAGGAAAGCAAAGAGAGACTATGAAATCAAAATAGCAAGAGAATCAAAGGCGAATCTCAAGGGATTTTTCCAGGTATATAGGACAAAGGTCAAGGACAAAGTTGGGCCTTTAAAGTCAGGGAGGGGAGAATTGATAAATGGCAGTGAAGACATGAGCAAAGCATTGAACAGCTACTTCTTATCAGTTTTCACAGAAGAAATTTGCGATGAAATTCCGGAGGTGGAACTGATATTTAAGGGAAAGGAAGAAGAGAAATTAAAGAATATCACCATCAGAAAAGAGGATGTTCTTAAGAAGATAAATAAACTAAAGAACACAAAATCCCCAGGGCGGGATGAAATTTTTCCTCGAGTCTTAAAAGAGTGTAGGGAACAGATTAGCGGACCCCTCGTAAATTTATTTACAAAATCATTAGACACTGGAGTTGTGCCAGAGTTGTGGAAACAGGCGAATGTAGTACCCATATTTAAAAAGGGAGACAGAGCATCAGCGTCAAATTACCGGCCGATCAGTTTGACGTCAGTAGTGGGGAAATTTCTTGAATCAATTATAGCAGATAGCATCCGATCGCATCTAGAGAAAAGCAAATTAATCTACGACTCTCAACATGGGTTTACAAAGGGAAAATCTTGTCTAACAAATCTGCTAACGTTTTTTAGGAAAGTCTTCGAGGTAGTAGATAATGACGAAAATTACGATGTTATTTACTTAGACTTTAGCAAAGCATTTGACAGAGTACCGCATGAGAGGGGAAAGTTTTAAATTGGATAAAATCATGGCTCACCGATAGAACGCAGAGGGTCAGCGTAGATGGTGTTAAATCTGAGTGGGGCCGTGTAACCAGTGGGGTTCCCCAGGGGTCAGTACTAGGCCCACTCTTGTTCATAATCTACATAAACGATTTAGATACTGGGATCAGCAGTGACATAAGCAAGTTTGCGGATGACACCAAAATAGGGCGGCAAATTAATTCAGGGCAGGATGCAAATGCATTACAGGAGGATCTAAATAAACTGCAGGGGTGGTCTGAAAAATGGCAAATGAAATTCAACACCAGCAAGTGCAGCGTACTTAATATTGGAAGAACAAATACTTATAATGTATACAGCCTGAACAACATCAACCTAGAGAAGTCGACTTGTGAAAGAGACCTAGGGGTACTTGTAAGCCCGGACCTACGGCCTAGAAAACAGTGCGTTAATGTTCGAAATAAAGCAAACAGAGTATTGGGTTTTATATCAGGAAGTGTAAGTAACAAGAGTGCAGAGGTCTTATTGCAACTATATCTTGCGCTAGTTAGGCCGCACCTCGATTATGCGGTTCAGTTCTGGTGCCCCTATTATAGAATGGATATAAATTCACTAGAGTCGGTGCAGCGAAGAATGACAAAAATGATTCAGGGACTTAGAAACCTTCCATATCAGGATAGGTTAAATAAACTTAACTTGCATTCCCTAGAAAGACGAAGAGTGCGGGGAGATATGATAGAAGTATTTAAGTGGGTGAAAGGAATCAATAAAGGGGATATAGATAAAGTACTTATAATATCCGAGCAGGATAGGACTCGGAGCAACGGATTCAAGTTGGATAAGTTTAGGTTTAGGAGGGAGATAGGAAGAAACTGGTTCACAAATAGGGTGGTGGACGAGTGGAACAAGCTTAGCAACTTTGTAGTAAGTGCGGGAACTCTGGAAAGTTTCAAAAGGAGGCTAGATAGATTCATGGATGATAGAGAGTGGTAGTAACTCTCGACAGGAGCTGTCATGCACAGGCCAACCGGCCTATTGCAGACTCCTTATTTTCTTATGTTCTTATGTTCTTATTTAGTGGGTCCCTTATTTTTGACCTGACCTGACTAGTCACGTCACCCCCCTTCTCTTAAGCTCCTCTACGTGTGTGTTGGTGTGGGGATTAGTGGATGACATCATTATGACCTGACCTCATGTTTAATAAGGTCACCCTGTATATTTAAGCCTCTCTCTGTCCATGTAATCCAGTTGCCTCTGAAGATGTCTTGAATAAAGACGAAAGCTAAGGTGCTCCGTTGTTTCCCTTTTCCCGTGTGATTTTATATATATATATATATATATATATATATATATATATATATATATATATATATATATATATATATATATATATATATATATATATATATATATATATATATATATATACACAGGAAGGGTGCGCCATTTTACGGACGCTTTCGTCAGATGATATCTCAGATGGATGCTGCTGGTGTAATCAGTCACTGGAGAGGTGTAGTAACAGCCAAGCGAGTCAGGGAAAATAGGAAGGCCACACGAGTAGACTCCAAGACAACCATGAGAGGTCAAGCAGAGGTACTGTAATCACCACCTGTCTTGTTTAATTTTTTTTTCAAGATAATAATTTAAAACTTATTGCCTACTTTTGTGTGCACGCTGTGTGTGTGTGTGTCGCACGCAGGGTGGTGAAATGCGTCTAGAGTGGCACATTATGGTAGTGTTGAGGAGCAAGCACTGCTTCCTCCCTCTCTCTTTCAGCTGCCGCCGCTGGTTAGCCCTCGTGGCGAACAGGGAAGCAACTTGCATAAATCTTATTCTGACAGTACACAGCCTTTTCACAATCAAGACTCCTGCTGTGCAACACACGGCAACTGGGTGCCTCGTGGGTTCAGACTAGACCAGCAGGGGATCTCGGAGTAGCAGTGGCCCCAGAGGGACGGTACATAGGCCCACTGGCATGTGGACACGTTCTGGCGCCTACCAGCCATTGCCCCGCTGCCTTGCGGATTAACCCCAAACGAAAAATGTACGGTGGAACCATGCATCAGGCAGATCATGCTTACAGAGCTCCAACAAGACCCCAACGACAGTATAGGCGGAAGAGGTGATCACCATGGAAACCCAACGAATACACCGGCGGACGAAGGCAATGCCTGATGGACAGGCTACTAAGGCGAAACCCAACAAACTGGGCTATCTGCAATCCATTGCAACTCTCCCTCTCCCCAGTCGTTGCAACACTTGCACCACTGGCTCAGGAAAAGGGAGAGCCAAGATGTGTGGTTGCAGCCTGAAGTCCTACCTTACCACATAAATCAACTCACGCGCAGCCATCATCCAGTTCATCATACCTCTCATCATCATCAAAACCCCTATACCCCCAAAAGTCCTATAGCGATGGACGAGTGGCGACGAGAATAGAACATAAGAATGGAGGAAACTGCAGCGGGCCTATTGGCCCATTCTGGGCAGTCCCTTTTACACCCAACCCCTATTGCTCATATAAGCATCCAACCTATGTTTAAAGCTATTCAGCGTATTCGATTTAATGATGATATTTGGTAACTTGTTCCATTCATCCACTACTCTGTTTCCAAACCAGTGTTTACCTATTTCACGCCTAAATCTAAATTTGTCTAATTTAAAACCATTGTTACGAGTTCGCTCCTGGTTGGATAGTTTGAGTACCTGTGTAATGTCCCCTTTGTTTAGCCCTGCCTTCCACTTATACACCTCTATCAGGTCGCCCCTCGCTCTACGTCTCTCGAGGAAGTGCAAATTAAGATGCTTTTACCTGTCTCTATACTCAAGGTTCCTAATGCCCGGGATTAGTCTTGTCATTCTCCTCTGAATTCTTTCCAAGGATTCTATATCCATTCTGTAATACGGTGACCAGAACTGAACTGCGTAATCCAGGTGTGGTCTCACAATAGGCGGAGATGACAGCCGGGAGTCTCTAGTCACAACTCTGCACATGGGCGGCACAGATAATATGGTTGTTTATGCACTGGGATTGAGGCAGCAGTGCAATCCGGTCCTATCTGCGAGATTGAACAGCCCTTTCGAGGAGCCACTCTGCTCACCCCACATGGGGAGGGGGCTAGAAAAGGGGCTAAACATAGTCTGTCTAAAAACACAACCTGACTAGGCAACTGGTCGAAAACACAGTCAAAATCACTGATCCAAACAAAAACAAACCATACAACCTCTTATGGTAGCTGTATGGAATGAAAGGACCCTTCTGGACACTGGCACATATGAGCGTCCTGACGGAAAACTGCCTTTGTGGCAAAAGAGCTGACTAGGTATAACATCGACATAGCAGCCATTAGTGAGTCCCGGCTCCCAGATGAGAGCCAGCTCAAAGAACGCGGGTCTGGCTACATCTTCTTCTGGAAGGGTAAGCCTGCTGCGGAGAGAAACTGCATTTATGAAGTTGGCTTTGCCATCCGCCAACTCATCCTACACAGGCAAATTGAAATGCCTATTTGGATCAACGAGCGCCTCACGATGCTTCGAGTCCTACTGAATCACTCACTTCATGCCTTCTTCTTCACTGCATACACCCCAACACTGGATGCAGACAATGACATCAAGGAGGCCTTTTAACGCCGACCTTGACAGAGTGCTAACCTCTATCTCCAGAGATGACAAGGTGGTGCTCCTTGGTGACTTCAATGCCAGAGTTGGCAGAGATGCTAACATTTGGCAAGGAACCAAAGGAAGAAATGGACTAGCCAAGTGTAATGCCAATGGCCTACTCCTCCTCAGCAAGTGTGCTTGCCACAGCCTCACTATCACCAATACCTTGTTTCGGCAGGCCGACAAGTTCAAGGGTTCGTGGCAAGACCCATGATCCAAACACTGGCATCTCATTGACTACATCATTGTCAGAGAAAGAGATCGTCGAGATGTCCTTATCACCCGTGCCACACGTGGCTCAGACGACTGTGACACTGATCATCGACTTGTCAGAGCCAAGCTCTCACTTCACATCACCCCAAAACGGTGAAGGCAACAAGCCTTCGGAAGAGGTTTAATACTAAGAGTGTGGAGGATCCACTAGTACCACGTGCTTTCAGAGAGCAGCTCGAACATGTGCTTATAAATAAACCAACAGCAAACACAGCGAATCTCAGTGCTGTATGGGATACTGTCAACACTGTTACGACAAAAACCTGCAGAAAGACCCTCTGCCATATCAAAAGAATACACCAGGACTGGTTTGACGAAAATGACCCGTCAATCAAAGTATTCAGCGATGATGAACGCCTTTACTGATTGGCAGAACAAACCTCAGTCTCGGACCAAGACTGATACCTTCCGCAGGAAGAAAGCGGCAGCCCAGAGGGAACTTCGCATTCTAAGGGATGATTGGCTTAAAAATAAAGCATGTGAAATACAGAACATGCATATTAGCACAAGATGCGCGAAATTTTTTTAATCCATTAAAACACTTTATGGGTCAACCACTCGTGGCGCAGACCCCCTCTGGTCATCTGACGGTAACTTCATAATTAAAGACGATGAAGACCTCCATCAGAGCTGAAAAGAGCACTAACATTCATGACTCAACCGAAACACCGATGTGGATGTTCTGACTATGCAGTGGGTCCCTCAGCATCCAGAGCTGACCCACCTCAGCTATCCTCCATCCTTGGAGAGATAGTAACTGCCACCAAACAGAAGAAAAATAACAAAGCCTCAGGGCCTGATGGAATCCCAGCCGAGGAATTATAAAGCAGGAGGACCTCTGCTTACCAGTTGTTTCCACTCTCTCCTGGAGAATATATGGGAAAAGGAGGAAATCTCCCAAGCCCCTAAACACGCTTCCATTGTCAATATTTATAAGAACAAGGCAGACCGATCAGACTCTGGCAACTACCGTGGTATCTCGCTGCTCTCCATAGCTGGCAAGATTATCGCCCGAGTCCTCCTAAACAGACTCCTTCCTGAGGCGGAAAACTTTCTCCCAGAATCTCAATGTGGTTTTAGACCATCATGTGGCACCATTGTCATGATCTTTGCTGCCCGCCACCTACAGGAAAAGTGCTGTGAACAGCGTCGTGACCTGTACATGGATTTCATCGACCTAACCAAGGCATTCGACTCGGTCAACAGAGAAGCCTTCTGGTGGACCCTCAGCCTTTTTGGTAGCCCACCAAAATTCATCGTCATTGTGAGGCACCCAGTCTGAGTTCTTCCCCATCCAAACAGGGGTTAAACAAGGGTTCTGTATTGGAACCAACTCTTTTCCATTTTCTTGGCTGCCTTCCTTACTCGTGCCAGTGCCAATTTAGCCGGCGGGGTGGATGTCGAGTACCGGGTGAAGGGGGGTCTTTTCAACAAGAGACGATTCCAGGCAAGAACAAAGGTGTCAGCAGCTTCCATTACTAAACTTCAGTATGCAGACGACCTCATCCTGGTGGCTCACACTGAACACGACCCACAGGAGATCCCAAACACCTATACAGATGCGTATGCGCACTTCGGCCTTGAGGTGAATGTACGTAAGACTCAGATTCTCTATCAACCTGCCCCTGGTTCAGACACACCTCCACCATCCATCCAGCTTAACTGTAGTGTAGTACCCTCTCTAATGTTACCACTTTCGGTTTCTCGGCTCCCACCAGTCTACCATCGCAGACATCGAAACCGTGTCTTCTGCTGTAGGGAGGTGAAATTATCTACAAAGCTGCATGTACGAGTATATCGAGCAATGATCCTCCCCACCCTGCTATATAAGTGTGATACATGGGTCACATACAGGAGGCGCCTCAAGGCACTTGAAAACTTTCACCAACGTAGTCTGCGTTCCATTCTCCAAGTTTCCTAGGAAAACAAAATAACAAATGCCAGTATTCTTGCTGACACCAATTGTAGGAGCATCGAGGCTACCATTATTAATGAACAGCAACGCTGGATTGGCCCTGTTACCCGCATGAACGACAGTAGACTGCCAAAGCAGCTACTTTACAGTCACCTTATGAATAGTAAACGTAACGCCGGAGGGTAATTGAAAAGGTATAAGGATAGTCTTAAGACAAACCTGAAAAAGTGCCAAATCGACCCACTCACCTGGAAGTCGATTACTCCACATCGCAACGATTGGAGGAGCACCACACGAAAAGGTGTCAATACCTTCGAGTTAGCCCGACTGCAAACCGAGGCAGACAAGCCCCAACACCGGAAATACGCTGCCACCGCCCTTCCCACACTAGATGGAGCCCTCCACATGTGCAACGAATGTGGACGACCCTCCGGGTCCCGTATCGGCCTCTTTAATCACCTCAAAACTCACCAACATAGGTGACATCCCTAATAACTCATATCATTGTATCATAGCTGGATGATCGTCATACTCGATTCCGAGTGACAGCAAAGTAGTAGTAGTAGTGGTGTGTGTGTGTGAACAGTTCTCATTTATTATATAATGTTGTAACATTGTAACACAATATATACAGAGCGCATCAGAATGAAAAAATTTTTCTCCAGGAGGACAAAACCCAGGTTGTGCTGGGGCTGCACCATCTTCAAGGCGTCTTTTACTTGTTGTTTTTGGGTACCAGCATCGCCTTCCTCACTTTCCTTGGAGAGAGAGGCTCACCCCACCTCCGCTCCTCTCCTCAGCAACGATCATCCTAGGAGACATAACACAGGATACTTAATATTAGCTCAATGAGAGAGTTTATTGTAATTTTATTCAGTAAATATTTGATTTGCCGCTTAAGTTGTTTAAAACAGTAAAAAAAATTAAATATAACAGGTGACAAATAGGTATTTTGTAACATTGTGAATTACTTAAAATTATAATAATTGTAAATTATCTTAAATCTTTCATTAATTCATCGTCCTTTCACTTTTTAATCAAAACGCTCGTACAGACAATCGAATCATACCTGGCACTATGTAGTAAACACACCCATTTCATTTTAGATAAAGACAAATATCTCAGCGGAATATTTCAATGTTATTTGAACTCTTAGGTAGATCTTCTATGACTGCAGTATAAGTGGTTATCTTCAGCAGTGTAGGAAGTGTTGCCTTAACAGAGGTACGAGTATGATGAGAGAATAAAACGTTCTTTAGAAACCTTTGGCATCATCTTGCATCTACTTGGGGGTGCTATAGGTAAGGTAGACCAATATTTTAACCTCTGGTTATAAGAATTCCTTCCATGTGTTAAGGCTATGTCTTTATGTTCTTTGTAATGTAAATATTAGTCACCATTTACAACCATGTACAGAATTACATAAAAGCAGATGGCAGTTATTACCAAATAGGGATGGATGTTTGGCTGCAGCATGATATCCATGAGGTATGTACAGTAAGTATTGTCTTTTATAATAACCTAGAACTTACACTATTTTTGTGATAGTAAATTTTTCAAATCTTAGTTTTACAACTACTAATTGTATATATATATATATATATATATATATATATATATATATATATATATATATATATATATATATATATATATATATATATATATATATATATATATATATATATATATATATATATATATATATATATATATATATATATATATATATATATATATATATATATTGATAAAATCACACGGGGGAAAAGGAAACAATGGAGTACCTTAGCTTTCGTTTTATTCAAGACATCTTCAGAACATGGACCGAGAGAGGCTTAAGTCCACAGGGTGACCTTACTAATCATGAGGTTAGGTCATAATCATTCCACTAATCCGGAAACTAAAATGTCAGTTTTTCTGCTATGTTTTTGAGATGTTTGTGTATTTGTGACACTGAATTTATTGATGAAGAACTGAAACACATTCGTTCCTTTGCACAAAAACTTGGGTACCCTTCAATGTTTGTTGATCATTGTTTTAAAAGGGCTAAGAAAATCCTTTCATTCTACTCAAACCAGGCGGCAAATTCCTACACTTAAGAATATTTTAACTCTGCTTTATCACAATGCATTTGTCCCGTTAGTTTAGTCCCTTAAATTATTAAATATTAATGTTCTTTTTAAGTATGACTCAACTATGACTAATATATTAATCAAGAATAGCCCAACCTTGAATGTAAAAGGAAGTGTTTACTACAATTCATATAACAACCTGTAGCTACCTGACCCAGCTTGGAGCGGTCGTGCCCCCAAGTGCCCCCGATTGTGACAAAGGAAAATGGCCGCCTTAGATCATTGTGTCTTGGGGGAAGAGGAGGGGAGTGTGGCGAAAACGACATACTGGCCATTCTGTTAAGAACATAAGAACATAAGATTGGATGAAACTGCAGCGGGTCTATTGGCCTATACTGGGCAGTCCCGTTTACACCCAACCCCTATTGCTCATATAAGCATCCAACTTATGTTTGAAGCTATTCAGCGTATTCGAGTTAATGATGATATTTGGTAACGTGTTCCATTCATCCACTACTCTGTTTCCAAACCAGTGTTTACCTATTTCCCGCCTAAATCTAAATTTGTCTAATTTAAAACCATTGTTACGAGTTCGCTCCTGGTTGGATAGTTTGAGTACCTTTGTAATGTCCCCTTTGTTTAGCCCTGCCTTCCACTTGTACACCTCTATCAGGTCGCCCCTCGCGCTACGTCTCTCGAGGGAGTGCAAATTAAGATGCTTTAACCTGTCTCTATACTTAAGGTTCCTAATGCCCGGGATTAGTCTTGTCATTCTCCTCTGAATTCTTTCCAAGGATTCTATATCCATTCTGTAATACGGTGACCAGAACTGAACTGCGTAATCCAGGTGTGGTCTCACAAGAGCAAGATACAGTTTTAGGATGACCTCGCTAGTCTTGTAACTAACACTCCTTTGTATGAACCCAAGTACTTTATTAGCCTTGTTACGACGCAAAAACACATTGTTTACTTGGCTTAAGGTTCCTACTTATCATTACTCCTAAATCTCTCTCGCAGTCGGATTTCTCTATGGCATCGTTGTTCATCTGGTATCTGGTTTCCCTGTTTACATCTCCTATACTGAGTACTTTACATTTGTCGACGTTGAACTTCATCTGCCATTTTTCAGACCATTCGAAAAATTTGTTTAGATCTTCCTGTAGTTTTGCCGAGTCCTCGTCAGATTTAATATCACGTCCTATTTTAGTGTCATCAGCAAATTTACTCATGTTGCTGTCTATGCCGATATCTATGTCGTTTATGTATATACTAAATAATAATGGTCCAAGTACTGAGCCTTGGGGAACTCCACTTGTGACGTTGCTCCAATGGGACTTAGTGCCGTTAATGCTCACTCGCTGTTTCCTGTCCTGTAACCACGTCTTAATCCATTTAAGGATGTTACCTTTGATGCCATGAGCCTCTACCTTTCTAATTAGTCTTTCGTGGAGCAGCTGGGACAGTTGAGGAGTGAGCTTCACACTCTAAAGGGGGAAAATGAAGCCCTCATAACTGAACTCCTTCAGGAGGAGCAGGAGTGGAGAGTGGTTGTCTCCAAGGGGACGGGTCAGACTCAGGAAAGCTGACCAGGGTGTGGAGTGTAGTAACCCCTACCAGATGCTGGAGGACGCTGGCAGAGAAGAGAAGAGGCAGGACGGTATGGAGCAAGGAGAGGAAAGGACAGTTGTACAAACCCTGCCCACAGGTAAGGTCGTGGTAGTTGGGGACAGCCAGGTCAGGTTTTTAGATAGGACTTTTTGTGTAAGAGATAGGACACATAGGACTAGGGTGTGTTTTCCTGGGGCTGGGATAGGGCATGTAGCTGAGAGGATAGATAGGGTTTTGTCAGGGGAGGGTACCAATCCAGTAGTGTGTCTTAGTGTGGTAGGAAACGACATAGGAAAGGTTAGGAGTGAGGAACTTTTCAAGAGGTATAAAGAGGCTCTGGGGAAGATTAGAGATAGGGGAGGGATCCCGATAGTATGTGGTGTCTTGCCTAGAAGAGGGGTTGGTCGTGAATGGCTGTCCAGGGCAATTGCTATAAATTGCCGACTGGAAAAACATTGTGCAAACAATGGTTGGGCATTCATTGATAGCTGGCAACGATTACCTGTACAATGGTGACGGAGTACACTTGTCTCGTGCGGGGGTAAAGACGTTGTCTGCATCCCTGGAGCGTTAAATTTTCACTCCAAAGGGGGGGTTTCGCCAGTAGAGAGAGGTCGGGGTAAGTGGGAGTCAAAAAACAAGCAGGTCCTGGGAAGTAAAATTAGTTGCTCTGGACAAAGGGTAAAACAGGACCAGGGAAGGGTAGGTTTAAATGTATACTATACAAATAGTAGGAGCGTTAGAAATAAAATAGCCTTGCTGAGAGCGATTGTACTGTATGTACTGAGAATGTAGACGTCATAGCAATCACCGAAACTTGGATGAATCTGGCGAGCAAAATTTTTTTATCAGAGTAACACATAGAAGGGTACAACCTTTTTCACAAGGACACGGAAGATAGGAAGGGGGGAAGGGTCGCACTCTTCATCAAGGATACATTAAAATGTTGTATTAATAATTCAATAAAGGGTGAAATAGGAACCGAGTCTGTACGGGTAGAAATCATGGAAGGAAGAGAAAAACTAATTATGGGAGTGATTTACAGGCCCCCCAAGTCTTGGGAAAGAAGCAGCTCAGCCCATATGGCGGGAAATGAGTAGGGCAGCAAAATATAACAACCTGTGCATTTTATGGGATTTCAACTTCAGAAATATTGATTGGGACAACATTGTAGGTGACTATGAATTTGAAGACTTTCTAGTCGCCGTACTGGACAATTTTTTTAAACAACTAATTAAAGAACCTACTAGAGGTGACAATATATTAGACCTAGTATTAACAAATAAAGAAAATATTATCAATGATATCACAGTAGGGAAAGAACTAGGTAACAGTGATCACAAAGAAATCAGGTTCACCCTAAATTGGGAAACGAAAAACAATGACAATATGGTCAGAGTCCCAAACTTTCGGTTGGCGGATTATCAGGGGTTAAGAAGGTGCCTAGGTGAGGTCACCTAGGAACAGTCACGTCAGTCACCAGTAGGAAGGGGTGAGGTCATAGATGACACAACAATTGATCATGACTATAATATATTCACTAGTATACTACATAGAGCACAAGAACAAAATATACCATACAGGAAAATTAGGTCAAATAAGAACGAGCCAAGGTGGATGACCAGAAATCTTAAACATGACATAGGAATAAAGAAAGGAATATATAAGAAATTAAAGGGAGGGGAGGAGCAGCACAGAAATAGGTGTAATGAACTATCTAGGAATGTTAAGAAAAATGTAAGGAAAGCAAAGAGAGACTATGAAATCAAAATAGCAAGAGAATCCAAGGCGAATCCCAAGGGATTTTTCCAGGTATACAGAACAAAGGTCAAGGACGAAGATGTGCCTTTAAAGTCAGGGAGGGGAGAAGTGATAAATGGCAGTGGAGAAATAAGCAAGGCATTGAACAGCTACTTCTTATCATTTTCACAGAAGAAATTCGCGAGGAAATTCCAGAGGTGGAACTGATATTTAGGGGAAAGGAAGAGGATAAATTAATGAATATCACTATCAGAAAAGAGGAGGTTCTTAAGAGGATAAATAAACTAAAGAAGACAAAATCCCCAGGTCCGGACGAAATTTTCCCTCGAGTCTTGAAAGAGTGTAGGAAACAGATTAGCGGACCCCTCGTAAATTTATTTACAAAATCATTAGACACGGGAGTTGTGCCAGACTTGTGGAAACAGACAAATGTAGTACCCATATTCAAAAAGGGAGACAGAGCATCAGTGTCAAACTACCTGCCGATCATTTTGACGTCAGTAGTGGGGACATTTCTTGAATCAATTATAGCAGATAGCATCCGATCGCATTC